AGCGCGGCGGCGGGCCCGGCTGAGCTCTCTTTGCGCCTTCAGGAGGAAAAGTCGTGAAGTCTCGCTACCTGCAGTACGATAAGAAGGACGCCAAGAAAGATGCTAGGAGGCATTTGGATTCCTTACTGGTGAGCTCAGGCGCCGTTCAGCAAAGGGTGGCTTTGCTGGTGATGAGGGTGGCTCGGACCTGTGGCAGTGAGAGTGCTGGGTTATGAGGAGATGCAGGCTCTGATGGGAGTTTGGGACAGCACTGAGGTGGCTTGTAAAGCACTAAGACGCCCTGGGATTATAGTTGTTTAGTGTCAGCATTCAAATTGGAGGTAAGATATAGTACTGTTCAGTCTTATCTGTTTCTTGATTGTCAGGATGCTTCAGCAAATTCCTTTGCAAAGTCCACTTCTAAACTGTCATCTGCAACTAAACCAAGATCAATTTCTCCTCAGAAACGTAGAACTCCTGCTGGTGAGTTTTACCAGAATTTAAAAGCTGTTATTTTGTGAATTTGTATTTCTAACCTGTAGGAACTGTTACCAACTCTAAAATGTTGTTAAGAGATCATATTTTGTATTAATTGCATTGCTGCCAATTACCTGCACACGAAGGGAAGTAAAAAATTTGATGTAGGATTAAGAGGTGTAAACTCAAGTGCGTTGAACTCTTGTCTGGATCTGGAATTGCATAATTCGATTGTCTAAAATAAGCCCCTCTCATGCCTTCTGCCCATGGCTTTAATCTACTCTTTTGCTATGCTCTCACTATTGCTCTTTTTTTTCAATTTAATTTTTTTTTTCATTTAATATTTTTAATAAACCCAGTGTTAAGGACTGAAAAATTTCTGTCTGCAAAACGGTCGATTTTTATTTCTTTGAATTGCAAAAAAACTTTCTGGTGAGACCTTGACTTGAAAATCCTGAAGAAATAATATTATTCCCTTTTAACATCTGAGTGTTGTTGTCCTGTGTTTAAGACAATAACAGTCTGAACTAACTTATCTCCGTGTAAGTTAGGGAGTGTGCTAATGATGCGTATAAAGTACATGTGTAAAAATTTGTGTAAGATTGCCACATGTTAGAGAAAGAATATAGAACTGTGAACTTGTGCAGAACCTGTTCTAATTCTTTTAGTTTGATAACAGCTTCTTTCTACAGGTGTTGCCCCCAGCTCATTAAGTAAAGGTAGTTTTGAGAAATGTTACTTGCAGTCCACTTTATTAGATGAGGATAAAACTGATCTACCAGACATTGATCTTTCAGCTGTTAATGGTAAGCTTCCACTTATGCTCAGTTCCTTGTTTTATTATTTTTGATGTATGTGCTGTAACTTGTGATAAGTAACCCTTGTTTTCTTCTGAATTCACAAAAAGATTTTGTTAAATAAGACTAATGTTATTTCAAGTGTCTTTTAAGCAGAGGTATTAAGACCTTCAGGATTTAAATTAACCTCTCAATTTTTAGTATCTTTGGTGTGTTCTTTTTGTTTACAATCAAATATCACAGAACAAAGTGCTCTCAAGTATTTGTTCCTGTGATAGATGGGTGTTAGATTATCAGCCCTTCTGAAAATTGTATCACATCTGTCTGTAACTGTCAATTAAAGCTAAATGCTCCTGTGCTCCACATCTTCTCATGACTATCATCAGAGCCAGAAATAGAGCACAAGTCGTCTTTACTGCTACACATAATAATTTTGAAATTAGGATATGTTGTTGTGGTTTAAACCCAGCCGGTAACTCGGAACCGGCTGTCCTCTCTCTGCTTCTTCCTGTCGTCTTGTGCCCCTCATCACTGGCTGAGCATGAGAGACTGAAAAGTCCTTGATCAGAGTAAGCATTACTTAGCAACAGCTAAACCATTGGTGTGTTACCAGCATTGTTCTCAGATTAAAGCTGAAACACAGCATTGCACCAGCTACTGGGAAGAAGAAAAATAACTGTTAACAGCTGAACCTAGGACATATGTTGACCCACTCTGTATACCTTGGTAGAAGAGAGTAGTAACTTTTCTGTTGTGATGCAGATAAAAGTGTGTGCAGGAAGTCTTCTGATTCAGAATCTGCTTACGAAGAAGATACAGTAACATGTGAAGACCCTGAAGCAGAGGTGAGTCACTGCTTTGATTTGTTAAGCACATTTATTTTGAAATACAGGAAATGAAGGTTTTTCTCTTTGACTTTAATTTTGATAACAACTGAGATGATCTAAAGTCAGAGGATAAGTCTCTTCTACTGATAGTGATGTTTGCTTTGTTTATCAGATGTCTCAATGCTGACTGAAGCTTTGCTTACGTTTCTTGTGGCAAAGAATCTGCTCCAATTGTAGCATCTTGTCAAGTGGATTCTTCTTGTATTCCTATCCATACTTTTTAATTATCATGTTATCTTTGAATATTTTCTGGTATTTTTGCACAGATCACTAATGTTAATTCAGTCTAATTTGAGGTGCCTTATTTAGGCATCTCATTCAACATAGCACTACCAGTGTTACCTGCTGAAAATGTTTTTAAAAGTGGTGGAATAAAGAGGTATATTTAATTAACATGTTGTTTAAAACCCCAAACTTTTTATACTGAACTGATGGTTGTTGATGATGATTCTGGGCACAAATTGGACTTTCAGTAATTTATTTGAATATGGGAAAAAGAATTGTTTAAATAACAAAATTGAGCTACTATAGTCTGTCCTTTTTTGAAGGAAGGTGATTCTGATGATGCAATAGAAGAGCTGGAATCTCAGACACTGCTTTTAACTTACCTAAGACTAAAGGTGAGAGTCAGTCAACTGTTTAGCGTTTCAGGTATAACTTGATATTGAGGAATTGTTTAATTTCTTGTCTGTGCTTTTTGATCCATAAAAGCTGCATTTTGAGACTTTCTCTGTTGATGGTTGTAAAACTGCATGACTTGCTTTGAAAACTCTTAGAGTGAATCCAGTGTCAGTTTGTTAAACTGGTGCTGGTTCCTCATGAAGCAGGGATACGCAGAAGTTTCGGGAACACCATGAATGGGAGTGTTTGGAGTTCAAGGCTGTAGCAGTGACTTTGTTCACTCAGTGCTGTACATGTACATTTCTCCTTTACGAAAACTATTTGCAGGGGTGGGGGAAGAAGATGGAGGGGTTAGTGTACTGTGCTCATTGCATGAAGTCTCCAGTTCATTATTTCAAGCTCTTTGAGCTGGTCCGAGGCTTACGTTTGTTTATTCAGAATGTGTTAATTACCTGGATATAGTATTAATTTAGCTGTGAATATTTTTTGGGTGTAATAGGCAGAAAAAAATCTTGCCAAGCTGGAGAAAGAAGCAGAAAAAAACTTGTTAATGTTGTGTGAAGAAAAGGAGAGAGAACAGAAGCAGCTCTTTGAGTTGAAGCGTGACATCCTACTCAAAGAAAGAGAGCAGAAACTTAACGATGCATTAGACAAACAGGTAGGCTTTATTGCAATTTATGCTTCTCCTGTATTTAAACAAGCTCATTCCTGAGGTGAGCTTTGCTTCTTTTATTCAGCAAAGGTTTCTCTGCTGCTTTGGCCTGCTGGGGTACAATTTTATGCATCTGAAACAGAATAAATACCTACTTCTGTTGTGGCGTGTAATGCTCTCTAGTAACCTAAGCAAATGCCTTTCTCCCTTTTTTGTTGTCCATTTTGGATAGGCAGGAAGGAGAAGTTAGAGTTGTGAGGCACGCTATAGGCAAGCACTGATTGTCAGAGCAGTCTGCAGTTGGTGCACAGGAGATGGGAGTATTATAAGCCCCATGAGCATCCTGCAGTTACGCAGTTATGGCTAGAGCTGAGGTTCTAGCCCTGAGATGAGAAGTGAACATCATCTTTATTTGTCTTATTTTTAGATGTTAGGCAGCAGTAGGCCTGGCCTGGTTGTAAGAAAACAAGTTTCTAATGAATAATTACATTTTTGTTAAGATTTAATTTTAAAAACTGAACCTGTGTTTGCTTTTAACAAATATGCATTGTAAAAATTAATAAGACTTTTGTCTTTTGGTGAATACACTGTTACCTACGATCAGAGTATAGAATACAAAGCTTTGCTTGCTCTGTTGCTAATACCTCTGAGCTAACAAAGAAACTGTTATTGACCTAGGCATTTTGAGGTGGTAGAGGAAAACGTGTGAAGCAGCCTGACAGGACTCTGTATTCAGCCAGGTCTGTAATAACAAAGTGGCTGCTTTTGAAGAAGTGTTGGTTCCTCACGTGTCTTTTTCAGATGGATTTACTTTCTTCCCTTGTTCCTGTTTGTGAAGAACTTCAAGAGAAATATAAAAGATTTGCAGTTTCCCTGGATGCCACTAGACATGAATTACCCATAAAGAATATTCACATAGAAGGAGATATGCAAACATACCTTGGTATGAAGTTTGATTCATCAAACTTCCTTTTAACTGTATTCATGGCTTTCCTTCTCCTTTCTTGTTCCTGATGAGTAAGAAAGTTGCTGAAGTACTGTGTTTCTTGTTCTCTGTTTGAGGGGTGGACTTGCACATGTTTCTTGCAGAACTAGTGCTTGAATGCATTGTGCGTTCTCTAGAATCAGAGAATGTTTGTTTAATAAATTAGTACTTGTGGTTTGTGTTGAAGTCTGGACAAAGAGTTACAGTTTTAAACTGCTGGCTGGTAAGAAAGGAGATTCTTGGCACCAACTTAACTATCGGTGTGTTACCAGCACTATTCCGAGACTAAAGCCAAAACACAGCACTGTGCCACCTGCTAGGAAGAAAGTGACCCCTACCCCAGATGAAACCAGAACATCAGGGAATTCTGTATGTTTAAAACTTATTCTTTCTCTTGCATTTGTCTTGTAAAAGTCTTTGACATACTCTAAATGAGAGCTTGATTAGCCATTTTAATTGCCTCTTGCTGGTCACAGTAGCTAAAAATAATTTGGCTTTCACAGTTTTCTCATGGTGTGTTTGTGAAAGCTGAACAAACAGTAGTTTTCCATCATCTAATTCACTTGTCTCTGTAGTTACTGCAGCTATTATGTAATCTTGTATTAACTGATGCCACTACTTGCATTTTTGACTAGTACCTTTAACATCTCCCATTGTAGAAGAACTGCAAAAGCAGTTGAAGATCACAGAGGAGCTTTTGACAGAACTTACACCGAGCTACTCAGAAGAAAGTGCAAAAGCATTTAGTGTACTGGAAGAGCTTAGAGAAGTGTCTCGGGAACTGGATGAAGAGCTTCAAAGGTATTTACAACAATGAATTGAAGACTCATTGGCAAAATATTCAGAGGAAAATCTATAAATCTCACCACTATAGATTAAGAGCATATATTGGGGGAGATTGAATTGAGGGGATAGTAGCACTAAGTTCAGTTCTGTTCGGTTCATAGCAGACGTCAATATTTCTTTCCCTGCCCTACCTATGTTCAGAGATGGTTGTGGTTTTTTGTTTTTAAGCGAACTGCTTTAGTGTGCCATTCTCTGACACTTTAGCTGAGAATTTTGGTGAACAAGAATAGCCCTGATAAAGCACAAGTATGTAGGAGAGTGGATAACTTGCAGGAGACAGAAGAGTGAACTCGAAGCTCTCTGTCTTAAATAATAACCATGCAAATATGTCGTCCATTAGGAGGTATGAGGAGCACAGAAAAGGCTGGGATTTTTTCCCCTCAGATACTGTGTCAACAAAGACAAAGTATTGCTGAGAGCATAAGGAAGAGATGAAGCATGATATATTTCCTTTACTTCCTTTGTTGCCCCAGAAGAGATTGCAGCTAAAATCTTTGCAGATTGATAGACCATAAAGCCACGCATCCCCCTCCTGCAAACTGCTCCTCCTCTCCTCCAAATTCTAGCCTTTGGGAAGAAAATTCATGGTTTACCTTTTTTCTTCTGATGGCTCCTTGGTAGAAGAATGATTCAAATGTCCAGGCTTTGGGCTTAAGCAGGAGTTGTTACCCTCCAGAGTAGCTGATTTAGCTTGCTTCATTTGTTCCAGGAGCTTCCCAAGAACGCTGAACCTGTTCTCTGAAGTTAGTAAAGAAGTTTCTCTGCATAACCAAAGAAAATGCGAAGAGAATCATGGACTAGATGTTATGAAGCGCTGGTACTTCAAATAAGTTTGTGTATTGTTTTACTAAGCGGGGGGTTACTAAGTCGGTGCCAGCAGATTTGTTACCTGTTTACTTCTTGTATGAGCGTATAACTTGTCCAAATTTTCAGTTATACTAGAATATGAAACCAGCAGCACTTGTGCTTACTGATAGGAAACAAGGAGTTTTGTTCTACATGCTGTCCCATGAGGAGGCAGCACATTCATTGATTTTGAACATGAATTTCTTTGACCCCTTTCTCATCCCTTACTGCCTTGACAGCACTGAAAGGTAAAGAATAAGAAACGTTGTTATTAGTGAGTGTAACTTATGAAAGTTCTTGGTTTACTTTCTTGTACTGGTTTCAGGGGCACTGATTTGCATCTTACAGGGCAACATATCAGAATCTAGATGTGGAATTGTGTTTGTGGTACTGTGCATCTGCTGATCTTGTTAGAAGGTTCTGTAGGGATGTACAGCGTGATAATTGGTCCCTCCATGAACAGCTTCTGGAGGAACACTTAATTTTCCCTTATTTCTGGATTTGCTGAGAGGAAAAGCTATGTGGGTAGTAAGTAATGAGGCTGATAGTTGAAAGGAACTCAAGTTACTTGTAACAAGTGAAAAGTTTTGGTAATCTGTGGCCAAATTATCTTGGAATTAAATTATTAAAATCATAAATGCTTTTGTATTAATCTGACTCCTCTTTAAGGAGTTTATTCTCTTTAATAATAAAGACTATTTTCCACTGCTGTATCAATAGCCTTCATGTTTGAGTATCTTAACTGATCTCCTACAGAAGCTTTTGTTTCTGTCTGGGCTTACACAGGGCTAATGCTACACAATATATGTGGTGATGGACTTACAGGCACTAATGAGCCCCAGTGGCAAGCCAGGACCTACTGGCACCCCAAGTGCTGAGGCCAGAAGACTGTGAATGTTCAGAGAAACTTCAAACCTAACTACTGAGTAAGTGCCTGGGGATGAGTGGGATGTTATGAACATACGCGCCAGATGTGGCATGTTTTCTTAATGTACTTTACATTTTTGCACATGGAATGCATTTCTCTCTGAAAGACATGCTCTATCCTGTTTTATTTTGTTGTGTTGTTTTTTAACCTGTGGAACCTTTTTCTGTGATGGTTTTTCAAAAGCTCTGCTTTGCATTGTCTGCACAGTGGTACATTTATGGCTTAAGCTGCATCTAGAAAGCTTTGGGGCCTGCTCAAAAATATTTGGAGTGTTCTCCTTGTACTCCTTGAAGTGCTGTTCAGGCTTTCTTCCTCGTATTACTGAGGATCTAACTACATTCTTGTCTCCGTTTCATAAAAATTAGGCATATATTAAGCTATAGTAACTGGATCAGTAAGATGTGCTGTGCACTGGCTGAGAAGCCAATACATACAAGCTATTAAGAATCTCCTTGTATATCACATCAATGCCATTTTTGTGGCAGCAGCTTATCCATGAGCTATTAATCTGTCACTTCTTCCTCAAACATGTTTAGATGAGCTGCACCTAATACTTCCCGTGTGTGCTGCCATTCAGTGCACGAGTCATAGGTGGTGCACCCAGCAGAATCATGCTCTGGGTCAGGGGCCTGAGCTGCACCTACAGCGTTGGCCGCTGGATGGGGAACTTTGCTAAGCACTCAAGTCGTAGGTTAGCTTTATTTTTGATGGATGGAGATCTCGGTAGAAAGGCTCCTATATGATGCAATTGCTGATCAAACAGCTGGTTTTCCTAAGATATTTCCTGTTCTATTTCTTTGGATAATATTTGTGTCCTCATGCCTTTAACCCGCTTATGATAAGTTGTCATTCTGAGACTCAGAAGGTTCTAAGTATGAGCTGGGAGAGGTGAAATGAAAATCAAGTTCATAGAGTCTTGATAATTCTGTCTCTGCATGGACATAAGTCAGAATGTCTTTCCCAGGAATTCTTGGCAGTAGACTTTATTGCTGGTCTAAAAAAAGATTGTATTTTTTAAGGAAATGGTTTTAAATTAAACCCATCTTCTTCAATTAAGTGATTTTTCTACCACTGAGTTACTGCTGTGTATGTGAGGCTTGGGGCAACCTGGTGTAGTGGAAGGTGTCCCTGCCCATGGCAGGGGGTTGGAGCTGGATGAACTTTAAGGTCCCTTCCAACCCAAACCATTCCATGATTCTATGAGATAAATATATATACACACATACCCCAAATGTTACTGCTGCAACAGGTAGCAGTATAAATTTTCACTCTAAAGTCAAGTGGAATGCTGTTAGTTCTCTTCCCTCAGAAGGGTGGTGGAGAGAGGTTCCTCTGGCCATGAATGTTTGGGGCAGTAATTCGTCCTTGCTGCTGCAGGTGACGGCCGTTGTCTATGCAACAAGCCTAAGGCAAAGTGGGAGTCCTGGAGCTAAAGGCCAACTGCGTGTACAAAACAACAAAGAGCCTGGGGACGTGCACTCGCTGGTACAGAAGAACCATAGGTGTTGATTTGAGCCTTCTGGCCCTTCTTTTCCTTAAACTGAACACTTGGGTAATTCTTTGTACAAATGGTAGAACAAATGTTAGATAAAACAGCTCGGCCTTTCCAGGAAAGGATTCTAAACTATTTTAAACTGAGACTTTTCCATCTTGATTTTCCTGAATGTCCTTTCTAAGTAGTTCTGTTTTGGCTTATTACAGAAGTGTTTTTGGCTCCTCCACCTTGAAATAGCCACAGAATTAGATGCTGCCATATTTAAGACTGTACAAACAACAACAAAGAACTGCAGAGTCACTGGAGCAGGAGCTAAACAGATGTGACACCACTTATTTTGTATTTTCCACTTGTTTTCTGACAATGTCACATGCTCTGAATATCAGTTGGAATCCTGAACAACTTAAAGCCTCTTTTTATTCAGGTTATCAATCTCTTTTTTTCCCTTTTCTTACCTAGGTTAGTAACATTCTCCCTTCTCTAACTTGTATCAATGTAGATTTCATTTTATTTTGTGAATTTTTGCTGTACTTACTACTGATGTATTCATCTTTCAGGCCAGAAGTTCTTATTGACCAGTTCTTAACATTCATTTGTCCTTAGATGCTGGGTTTTTTGGTGGGGGTGAAGGTCTAAAAACTGAAAGCAAATTGTGAAATGAGCCAGTTAGGTCTCAGAACCTGGGTGGGAAGGTGGGAGCACAGAAATGTAAGTACTCATCCGCTGCAAAATTCTCTTAGTTGACTAAAAAGCCATTGGCAAAGATTTTCAACTAGGTTTGCACTGCACAGGTTGCCCTGTCTGGATTCTGGTGGGGTTGGGGAGCTCTGGCCATGTTCTCTTTAGTTACAATGATGTTGCCTGACTGTTTCGGCCACCAGCTTAGGAGGGCTGAGATGAAGCCTACGAGAGGGTGAGCAGGGCTCAAGGTGAGGGAGCATCCCTGTTGCCCATGGTGTGCTATAGTGGAGCTAAAGCCCAGGAGGTAATCTTCACCACCACTCCCAACCATACAGTTCTTTTGTTCACACTAGCTTCAAATGGAGCTGATTCTTTGCTCATCAACAGCAAGTAAGCAGCTCATGACCCCAGCAGATGTTTCTGCATTTTAGGCTAATGAGAACTTATTGGATTACTGCAGTCTTCCCTGCCTCGGAGTAAATACGACTTTGTTGGAGATCCGGAAACTCATACTGAATATGATAAACAAACTGCTGGCTGGACTGTGATTGCCAGGACATGAAAAGAGTTCCACAGCAGCAGAAGATGTAACTGCTCTGAAACGTACCACTGAGCCACACCAATTAAGAGTATTTCCAGTGATTATGTGAGCATTCCTATTCAATTCACAGAAATGAGTTTAGGTTGTTTCTTCCTCTGCATTTGTGTGTGGTCTGGAAAGCAAGCACAAGGCTGGAGGATGAGCTTTGCAGAATAGTCTCAAATGGCTCTCATCAGTTCCTTTTAAAAACACTTCTGTGATAATATATATGCAAAGACCTGTTGAGTTTCCTGCTATTTCAAGATCTTAAATTTCATGTTAGGGAAGCAAACACAGTTTGCCTCTTAAGACATAAAAAATTTTGTGTTTATATAGATAACATGTTTGGACATGGCCTGTAGCATATCGAAACTTAATTCCTTAGTTTAATATCTGCTGCATGTGTCTTAATGACAGCCACAGTACAGTGCTCTATTCCTGTTCTAAGTCAACATCTGCCCATATGAATGACTGAAAGAGTAGGAAGGAATAACTTTGTCGGGAATTAAAATGCTGTACTACTGCAAAAGATCAGTCTCTCCTGTTCTAAAGATGATTCGTAAGCATTTTTGGCAGAACTATTTAATAATTTCATTCTTGATACCATTTTCCTGTTATATGCTACTCAGATTATATTCTTATTTTGAATGTGCTCTTTATCCTTTCCTTGTAATCTTATTCTAGAGATGCTTGTATTCCTGGGAGGCAGGATCAGTCTTGTTCCTACCACTCTTGTATCTGGACTGATAGAGTTTTCTCGTTGCTGGTAAGCTTGCAGTAAGCAATGTGGCAAAGCCAATGGGATCCTTAATTTGCAGTTATCAGTTTCTACATTAGATACCTGTGTTTGGCTTACAGAAAAGAGGCTGTCACAGGAACACAAAGGGAGAACAAAACTGGGAGTTAAAGAAATGGGTGTGGGGTTTTTTGCCATGAATATAATGCTGTAAAAATTAACTAAGACCTTATTCTTGCTGGCAGCATGTAATGACCAGCACGAATGGTTTTCTGTTTGGAAGGGGGGTCAAACAATTCCGGCTTACCTAAAGCTGATGACTTGTCTGGTTTTTACCTTTCACCCACCTTCTACTGAAATCTAATATGTACAGGACTGAATGTAAAACTAAATGAATAGCCTTGGTTTTACTGCAGCATCTTTTCTTCTGTGCACAACTTACACACGTATTCTCAAAGTGAGGATTACCTTCTGTGCCTTCAGGTCTGGTCATCTGTGTGACAGGTTACAGTAGTCATGCTGAGGCAGTTCAAAGGGCTAATTATTAATGGTGTGATCCTACCA